CTTGAAGTCAAGTTATAAAATCGTTGCATATTCGTAAGAACTCCGTTATTACACAAAACTCTCGTTCTGATTTTGACCTTATAGAACCTAAATTAACGACACTAAATCATTCGACCTCGGTTAACCTTACGTGACCTTAAAGGATGACCTTCCGACCCATGCTACCGTCTACCCAACCAATTTGCACAACAGTCCCAGCACACGCATTGAAAAAGGAAAAAAATCCGCCACAAGAACAGGCCATGTCGCTGCCTCATCAATGCACTGCTTATACACACTGCCCTCACAGCATAAAATATGCCCGTGCATTCATATTCAAAGACGGACAAAAAGCTACTTTGAATCGCAAATCAAGAGAGTTCTTCGCACGGGACTCCGCAGGCAACGCAAACAATGACGATGCACAGAAGCTGCTGCAGATTTCCGATGGTTTGAGGGAGAGAAGGAGGGGGAGGGCGGAGAAAGGGAAAGGGGAGGCTAGAGGGACAAAAGGAGGGAAGAGGAGACAGAGGTGGAAAAAAATCAGAAAGGGGATGGAAGCATTTAGAGAGAAGAATGTAAGCGTGAAGGACAAGGCACAGAGAGAGAGAGAGAGAGAGAGAGAGAGAGAGAGAGAGAGAGAGAGAGAGAGAGAGAGAGAGAGAGAGAGAGAGAGAGAGAGAGAGAGAGAAGGAAGGGAAGACAGAGAAAGGAAGGGGCTTTCGCGACCCCCCCTTCCCCCCTCCCGTGTCCCTCTCAAGTGTCGTGTGACGGAACCTCCGCTTATTTGTTCAGTAACAAAGACAGAGGGGCGGCGGGCAGGGGTCAACACTAAACAATATAACCGTTTCGCCAGAGGTCTTGCTTCCCGGCTGGGAAATCTGGACCAAAGGCGAAATCTCTATCTATCCTGAAGACGAACTCATTTCAATCATAATCCTGATAAATACGGCATCATGTGAACGCCCAACGCAGGACGGGCAATCTCTCTCCAGAAAAAATAGAAGAGCAGAACGGAAAAAAATAACAAAAATCCGTCTCTCATTTGCCTCTCTCTCGGTGCCCTCAACAGCAACTAAACATCTCCATATACGAAGATAATGACTTTCAATATCCCAAATTAATCCCACTTGATTGACATCTCAATAGCGCTTCATAATAGACTGGGGCGCCGACTCAACCGGCAAAGAACGAGCCACGCGAATATTTAATCATAACCGACCTTATGGTGAAGTAAACACACCCGCAAAAAGGAAGAGATTTTCTCACTTCAAATCTCTCTTCCCCCCACCCTCTCTCTCTCTCTCTCTCTCTCTCTCTCTCTCTCTCTCTCTCTCTCTCTCTCCTTCCACGTCCCAGTTGGTCCCAATCGCCATATAAGTACAATACTGCCAACGCACACACAATAAACACAAAAAATGAATGTCAACCCCATAACCAGTGTGACCTTCGCGATAGTATCCTCCCACGCCCACTTTTCTATCCAGCGGCGCCCACTCAGACCCCGCCATAACGCCCTCTCTCTCCCTCTTTCTCCAAACGTTCACCAACTCGTCAGCCTTGACTCGCCGCTCACTCACTGCCTCGCCTCCTCGCTTCCTTCACTTTCTTTCTGTTCTACCCATCTGTCTATTAACAGTTTCTCTATCTATATTTTAAGGTCTGTGTCGATCGATTCGTCTATCTATCCATTTATCTCTCTGTTTTTGTCTGTCTGTCAGTCTATCGGTCTCCCTCTCTGCCCATCTCTTTACGAATTAATCATCCATCTTCGTACTTCTCTCCCCATCTCTCTCTTCCTTACTTTCCCTCCTCCTCTTAATATCAAATCTTCCACATCCCTAATCTTTTTCCTCCCTCTCTGTTGCACTTCATAATCATAACAGCCTCACCCCACGCCCGCAGATTGAGGAGTCGGGTTCCGTGGGCGTCACGTGTTGGGCATTCCGAACGCTTTTCGTGGTTTCTGAACTCCCGCGGCAGAAACTAGGCCAGGCAGGTTGTTGTGTGCTTTACAGGTGTCACGGGTGAGCTAAGGTGGGGGTGGGGGGGAGGGGGAATGTTGCGGTTGGGGATCACAGAGGTCAAGGTATCTCTCTTTCCTGCCAGGTCAGGTTGATGGGGAGAGGGGGGGGGGGGCTTGGGTATCTCTATGATCAACAGGTGAGGGAATATTAAGCTTCTTATTGATTAAAAGTGTTCACTTCGACCCACATTCCCTTAACTGACATGGTTCTCACCAGGAATTCCTAAATTATATTATAAACGTATCGTAATTCAAACAAATACAATGAAACTACAGCGAAACGAAGATTCATTTACGCTTGCTTCCCATATGCCTCGATGGAGAAGCTGAAGAAGGAGAAAGAGAAGAAGACAGATAAGAAGAACAAGAAGAAGATGAATAATAATAATAATAATAATAATAATAATAAGAAGAAGAAGAAGAAGAAGAAGAAGAAGAAGAAGAAGGAGAAGAAGAAGAAGAAGGGGAGGAGGAAGGAGAAACAATAAAACAGCCCAACCAAATCACTTTCCCTTGCGCCGTCCCCCTCAATCTCCACCGCTGAATAGCATCTCTTCCCTCCCACGTGTTGCCGTCAGCTGGTGTTGGAGGCCACGAGGGTGTCCCCCTGACCCCCCCCCGCCCCTACCCCCGTCATGACATCACAAACACTTACACACCCTTAACACCCAACTCCCTTTACGATCTCTTAACACCCTAACATATCCTAAGTCCCAAATATTCTCACAATTCGAGCATCCTAATAACGCACAATCAACATCCTCCTGCTCTCATTCTTAACACACGCCACTAGCACGCCTTAGCAACCTCTCACTCTCTAACACCCCCGAACACCCTCGCTGCACCCCAACACCTCCTAACACCGTTTTTACCCCTCGTTCTTTCCCGAACATCTTCCCCCCCCGCCCCCCCCCCCCCGAACGCCTCCAGCAGGTGCGCGACGGCCCGCCTGGGTCACGGGGCGATGTCGCAACCTCCGCCGCCTCCTACAGACACACACCGTACTTTCACTGCGACGCCGCCCACTGCTCACGACTACGGGATCGCACCTGCCCGCCCACCAGACCACAAGCCCGCCCGTCCCCCGCCCCCCGCCGCCCGCCCGCACCTGCCACACGCTCGGCGCTCCCACGTGGGAGGGATGGCTGGGCGGCCTTGTCCGTTTGTTGTTTCGGTTTTGTTTTCTGTCCTTGTTGGTCCACGGTGAAAAAATAACTGTTTATTTGTCACGTGCGATGACATGTGTTTGTGTTGATGCCTCCTCCAAGAAGCGATATGTGAGTCAACCTAAAGGCCAATTCCATGCCCACGAATTCAGGTTTTTTAATGGCAAAACAAATTAAAATAAGATAAAATAAAAGACAGATCGATCACTTCGCAAATCTACAAATCGTTTGGAGTAAAAAGAATGAAATTCTCTGCAGCCAAATCAGTGCAGAGGAGCAAGTGTTTGTACAAGTGTCAAGTGGGTGGCGGTCGCTGCGATCGAGGGGGGGAGGAGGAGGGGGGGAGTCCAGTGCCTATTTACCCTCTTTCCTTTTTTCCTTGTTTATCTCCTCCTCTTATATTTCCTTCCTTTCTTGTTTGTTTCCCTCTCCCTTGTGTTTTCCTACTCTCCTTCTCATCCTTATTTTTTTATTTTATTTTCCTCGTCTTCTTCCATTTCTTCCTCATTCTCTCCCTCCTTCACCCTCCCCCTTCTTTCCCTCCATCCTTCCCTTCCTCCTTTTCCTTTCCCTCCTGCCTCCCTCCCCCTCCCTTCCTCCCCAGCTGTACCCAGACATTACGTCACCGTCGGCCTCTCCAACGTTTAACCTTCGCGAGTACTTTTACCCAAGACGGAGATGACCTTCCTCTCCCGGCAACGTGTGTGAGGCTGGCTGGAAAAATCCCTTTTACTTGTGCTTTCTCTGTGCTCGGGAGGGAGGGAGAGGGAGGGAGGGAGGGAGAGGGAGGGAGGGAGGGAGGGAGGGAGGGAGGGAGGAGGGAGGGAGGGAGAGGGAGGGAGAGGGAGGGAGGGAGAGGGAGGGAGGATGAGAAGGGAGGGAGGGAGAGGGAGAGGGAGAGGAGGGAAGAGGGTAGGGAGGGGAGGGAGGGAGAGGGAGAGGGAGGATTGAAGAAGGGGAGGGAGAGGGAGAGGGAGAGGGAGGGAGAGGGAGAGGGAGAGGGAGGGAGAGGGAGAGGGAGGATATTTGTAGCTATCTTTTTTATCCATGTATTATCTTTGTTTACTTTTATGGCGTGTATTGATCTTGGTGAGGTAATGAGGTTGTTTGTGTGTACATTTTTTGATGGCTCGGGATTGTTATTATTATCCACACGAAGAATTTTAAAATGAATGAAGTAATTTTTCCGAGTTTCGATTTCTTCATTTGTTTGTTTGGCTGTCTGCTTTCACTGCCACTGATCTCTCCCTCAACATTTCTCTTCGTAACAAGTCACTAACATGTTACGGTCGTCATCTTGTTCGTCACTTTGAGGCCACACACATTTTGTTTTCACTCTGTTTATGTTCAGTCTCCCAAAAGCACGTCTTCATTTTGTTTTTATGAGCCAAGGTCACCTCCTCTCTCTCTCTCTCTTTCTCTCCCTCTCCCTCTTTCTCTCTTTTAAATAATCCAACACGGTAACCGTTTAACAGTCGAACACGTACTTGGATGATAAAATGACACTTTGCCTTCACAAACCACATTTTGAAAAAATAGGAAATCGTCTATAAATCCACAGTATATAATCACAGATCACAAAAATCATTTCACACACACAAAAAAAAAAAAACGATCCAATACCGATGAATTAAAAATAAATGAATAAAAATAAAACAAAATGAAAAAATCATAAGTCCACCGACAGGGCGCATTCAACTCCCCACCCATATTGCACGCCACTTGCAGGCTCACGAACCCCTCTGCCTCCGACGCCGATGCCCGTGTCCTGGTCACGGGAGTCCTCTCCTGATGCCCTAATGCCAGCTGCCTCCGAAGGCGCGTTCAACTCACCATGACTTCTTCAAAGGGACTCCTGACACGGTGTCCAAGATGGTCTGATGCTGCGCCACCGTGTAGCCGAAGTGGGACTTGGGAGAACCTTTCTTCACGATGGGAATTTTCGGCTCCAGGTTGAACGGCAAAACCTGCCCCAGCGAACACAGGCACCACAGAAGGGCGAATAATCGAGTGGGTTCCGCCATGGTGCGTCGCACGTCCCACCCGTAGCACACCCAGAGAGCAACTGAGGAGCGAGCGACTGCGAGTGAGTGAGCGAGTGTGAGTGGGCCGCGGCTGCCAAGAATCGCCACACTCGGTTCATACAGATTCCCAGAAGTTCGGATGTGCCCGCTCGTCTTGCGAGAAAGTGGCGAAACGGCTCAAGTTGGCTGTGCATGGAGGTGTCCTTATTACGCAGAGACATCTGTTCAGGGATGCGCGGACACGCATGCACGCTCTCTCTCTCTCTCTATATATATATACATATATGTACATGCATATATATAAATATATAATCATTTAAATATATATATGAATACACATATATACATATATGTACATGCATATATAGAAATATATAAACATTTAAATATATATATGAATACACATATATACATATATGTATATATAAGTACATAAATAAATACATATAAGCATATATATACTCACATATATATACATAAATAAACACATATTCATATAAATACATGTGTGTATATATTCGTATATATAAAAATGAATGTGTATATACATACATACACACACACACACACACACACACACACACACACACACACACACACACACACACATATATATATATATATATATATATATATATATATATATATATATATATATATATATACACACATACAGACATGTACGTATATGTATGTATATACGAATATATGCAAACACATACATACACATACGTGCATGCATGTACAGTGTGTACACACACACACATATTATATATATATATATATATATATATATATATATATATATATATATATATATATATATATATATGTATTTATATTTATATGTATATGTACATTTTGTGTATATATGTATATATATACACATGTGTGTGTGTATCTGTGTGTATGTGTATATATATTCATGAATGTATATATTAATATGCATGTATGTATGTATAAGTATATGTTTACACACACACACACACACACACACACACACACACACACACACACACATATATATATATATATATATATATATATATATATATATATATATATACATACAAGTGTTTTCATAAATGTATATATATATATATATATATATATATATATATATATATATATATATATATATATATATGTATATATACACATATTTATATGTATGTGCATGTGTATGTAAACACACATATACATAATTATTTTTATATATATATTTATATATATTTGTGTGTATATGTGTGTATATATATATATATATATATATATATATATATATATATATATATATATATACACACATATATATGTATGTATGTATATATGTATGTAGTTGTATACAGACACACAGAGGACCAGTACACATCGAATATCTGCTTATTTCATGGGTTCTTCTCACTGGCAAATCGCAGGCGCCGCCCCCTCCCCGCCACCGCCGGCGCAGAGCACAGCCATCAACGTGATCCACTGATGACATGTAATTCCTTATATCCGCACAATCCCGCCCTCATTCCTCACGATAATGGCCTGTCCCTATTATCTCTATTGCTGTATCTGCCATTCGTAATGGGTCTAGTGCAATTGCCTCGTGCGATGCGCAACATTGGATCACTGACGATCGCGTCTCCTGTTCTCGCAAAAGGCTTTGTTTCGCGTTATTTTCGTGAGGCAAAAAAATGGGAAGTCTATGGAGGGAAAATTTACGAGCTTAGTGTTGAATGTTGATAGCTAAAAATTGTACTCATGGTAGTGAGGTATCATGCGATATAATGCTATGATGAAGTTATACTTGTGAATACGAGCGACAGTCTCATTATGTTTCGTGATAAATCAGATTTAGCTTTTACCATTCCAACAAGTTTTTTATGAGAGTAGCTTTTTAATTTTTGGGTAGTTGCTTGTTTGGGAATTAATACAAACAGACAAAACTGTAAAATAATACGTAGTAAGTTCAGCCCCCAAATTGGCAACATTAAAATATGTCCCCCAAGTACGTTAAGGAAAAATAGGTATAACCACACGGCGGCTGCATAATGAACCGATCTTGAGACTCATTTGCATCTAAATATCTGCACTTATTTATTCAACCTGTACTTAATTATTTTTTTTACCGGTTTGTTTAGATCAGCTTATTCTTTTTTATCACAAGTTTCCATCTAATGTTTCCGTCATAATGCCTCTGCATTATGTGTATTTTTTCTCAGTTTATGTAAATGAATTCGAACATGCTAATTCGCAAACCTGATAAAAGCAGAACTAGATCTAAGGTAAACACCTTGCTACACAAAAGGCCAGCAAT